GGTTCTCCAGAACTGGTCAGAACCTGCTGAATACCACCCCTGGAGTGCTCTCTTGTAGTCACTGACATCTACGTTGACTGTTACAGAACTCATTATTATTTCATTTTTTTAACCAGGATTTCTTAAGTTAACCCTATTTCCTGAATTCATACATCACAGCATAGTGTTGCTTCACAACAGCTTATAACAGATTTAGAAGTACACAGGTAATTTTTAAAAATACTGAAAAAAAAGCATTTCCTGGCAACCACTATTGCTTAGCATTTCAGAGATATCTAAGTGCCTAGAATTCTGATTATTATTCATGAATGTGTTTATTTATTTTTTTATTTCAATAATTTCTGGGCTGCCTAGACACTGGACTCTGGTACTTAACCTAACTAAAAGCACATAAACTCAATTCATTTCTCTCAGACTATAAATAGTCCTCGACTTACAACCATCTGTTTAGTGACCGTTTGAAGTTCCACAGCGCTGTAAAAAAGGGACTTAGAACCGGTTTTCACATATACATCTGATGCAGCATCTGGTGGTCACGTGATCAAGTTTTGAGTGCTTGGCATGTATTTATGACAGTTTTGCTGTTCCAGGGTCATGTGATCACCATTTGTAAACTTCACAGGACTTCCAACCAACAAAGTAAATGGGGGAATACAGATTCGCTTAACAACTGCATGATTCACTTAACAACTGCAGTGATTCGCTAAACAACTGTGGCAAAAAGGTAACAAATGGGACAAAATTCATTTAATTTGTGCCTTGCTTAGCAATGGAAATTGCTGGTTATAATGCAGCAGTCAGTAAAGAGGAAGCTGCATTCGGTGTCCCATGCAGAATGGGTCGTGATAGTCTGAGAGATAAAAGTTATTACAGGCATTGTAAACGCATAAAACTGGAATTGAACCTGGAATTGTAGTCATAAATTGTTACAGTTGTAAGTTGAGGCACACACATAACCTGAAGTAAATTTTCCACCTTTTTTCATAAAGTGACTGCAACAGCTGTTAAGCAAAATCGTTCATTTGTAAGAGTTTTTTTTGCTGGAAATCAGCAAAAAAAGGCCTCAGATTGGCAAAAAAAAACACACCATGGTGAATTCTGGACAAATGACCCTGGAATATTATGAAGAATCATACAATTGACCCATTTGAAATTTGGAGTGGCAGAGTAACCATTTATGATGGCTGGTAGTATTTATTATGAAACACCCATTCCATAGCTGTCATAACTTCAATAGGTCACAAAAAACAAGCAATCATTATGCAAGGACTACCTGTATTGTGTTCAATGACTCTTGGCATTTACTTATTTCCTTCTTCTTCCTGTTCCTCCTGTTAAAGGCATAACTTCAGACATGAAAAGATTCTAATACAGGTAGTCCTCAACTTACAACAGTGTTTTTAGCGACCATTTGAAGTTACGATGGCACTGAAAACTTTGACTTGTGACCATTTTTCACACGTACAACCATTGCTGCATTCCAATGGTCTTGTGATCAAAATTCAGGCATTTGGCAACTGACTCATATTTATGACAACTGCAGGTTCCAGGGTCAAGTGAGCTACTTTTGCGGATCAATGGGGAAGCCAGATTCACTTAACTGTGTTTATCAACTGAACAATTACAGTGATTCACTTAACAACAGTGGCAAGCAAGGTCGTAAAATGGGGCAAAACTCACTTAACACATGTCTTCACATAGCAACAGAAATTTCAAGCTCCATTGTGGTCATTGTGGTCGAGGACTTACCTGTTCTAATTGTGATCATTTATTAAGCTTGTGTTTATACCCAACTTTGGGCATTTCACAACAAAGATACTACAAACTGATAAAAGATAAATGATGGCACTCATGATGAAGTGAGGGACTCTCTCTCTCTCTCTCTCTCTCTCCCTCCTTCCCTCCCTCCCTCCCTGGGGGATGTGGGGGCTATCTGGATCTTGGGGGAGGGAACCTTCTTTCCGAAGGTCAGGAACAACATGCATTTGCAAGATGTTCTAAAAATAGGAAGCATCTGCTTCCCTCTCCCCAGAAATCATGCCCATTAGATGGAAGAAAATGTCAATATTTTTTTCCTCCCGCTTTTGCTCATGTAACATTAACGAGGGGTCGATATGCAAACATTAGAGATGGTGTGCATTAATAATTCCTCTGCTTATTTCTGCAGAGACCGAGTTGCTCTCCAGAGCAGAATGGTCCGAATCTTCCCCATCAGTTAGCATAGGATGGATGCATTTTGTTGGCTCTTTCCTTGGAAGTAAACATAAGACAAGATGGGGTGCAAAATTGTAATCAGTAGCTCTTGGGTCTAAATAAATTATGGAAAGACCTGTACTCACCTTACTTGCTGGCACGTATTCCCCTTGGCAATACATTCAAGGGAATTTTTTTTTTCCCCCTCATCTCTTCTGGGGAAGGGAAAAGCCAGGCTGGAGCCAGGAATATTGATCAAGGGTTTCAGGTCTGAACTCTGGAGCAAAACACTGAGATGCCAGCAGTTCACAGGAGTGACAATCAACTTCCGAGTTGGAATACACATTTCTTCCTTTTAAGCAAGCAGAATCAACATAGGGGCGGACAGGCACCCCAGCTCTTCCCTCTCCTGGATAGGAAAAAAATAGGAGGGGAATTTTCTTGTAAAATAGAGAAGAAAGTTACTCTTGAACTGGGGAAAGAAATGGGAGGATTATCTTCCCAGCAACTCAGATAAAATGCTGGAAGTACTTCCAGTTGCTGGTGGAGACACAGAGAAGATACCAGTGGGCTTTAGTATTCAGCTTATCTGTAAAAAGCAAATTTTAGGCAGAAGCCATGTTAAATTTTAATCTCCTTTGTCTGTGAGTACCTAAATCAGTTGGATTTGGCAAAAGCACCAGGCTCAAAAACAAGAGACAGTGAGTTCTAGTCCTTAGGCGGGAAAGCAGGCTGGATGACTTCGGGCGACAGTGAGTTCTAGTTCCTCCTGACCGTCTTATATGGTAAGGAGGCAGGTTTCTTATATGACACATTATATGTATAGGCATCTTATACATATCAGTAAAGGAGAATATTTGTAGCTCAGGTTTGACATGAGGAGTTCTTGGTGTTCTCTGAGCTTGCTTGTTTGCAGACATTTCATTACCCAAACTAAGTGAGATCATCTGTGCTACTTTATATATATTATTACCATAGAAGACATATGATCGGAAGACAAGGCAATTGCAATATTTTATTATTTACATTTTATTTTATTTTTATATTTAATTTTATTTATCACATTAGAAACTGCCTATCTCCCAAAAGGGACTCTGGGCAATGTACAAGTAACATGTAAAAAACATAAAAACTGAATATTGAAATTTAAAATAGAGGCAAGGCAGCAGGGAGGAAGCGCGTGTTTCCCCACCCCGAAATACCAGAAATGAGGGAGAAAGGATGCAAAGTGAAGGAAATTTGTGGGTGACAGTGGAAACTACCAAGCTACTATTTCAGGTAAAGAGGGGGCAGGGTGCTAAAAAGGATTTGGAGAGTGTGGTGGATATGTTAGCCACACTGAGTTATTTATAAAAAATAATGAAGGTGGAATACAAATACATTTTATGTGGTGATCCAGTTAATTTTATGTCAGTGTTATCCCTTCTTTGCTGGAACCTTTAGATGAAAGTTTTCTTCATGCTTATGTTTATCAATGTATGAAGTATGAAGATTTCCCCCTGAATTTCTGTATTACTTCTTGCTTTGCTTGATGTGGGGTATTTTTAAACCTGTTTTACTCCTTATGCATTCCATATGATTTAACGAGGGAAAGAATTGGAACTGGAATTACTAATTTGGTTGTAACACACAGAGATTGGTTTATATTTGAGAGTCAAATATAATCTAGTGGCTAAAGAGAGCAGAATTATAAATCTCAGCTCTACTGTGAATGTACTGATGTCTGCAACCAACTTATTTCATCCATCTCTAGTTTCCGGACTGCAATAGGAAATTGCAAAAGGTGCTTAAAAGCCTTTTGTAACCTTTGCCGTAAAGGCAGGAAGCAGGAAATGAACAGGGAAACCATTCCAGAAGAAAGGAAATAAGAAATGCAGCCTAAACTGGTGCTTTCATTCTTGAGAGTTTAAATTTCACCTGGATGGCCCTGCTCACCTGACATCTCCCATTTAAAGGATCAGAGAACTGCCTTTCGTGGGAAATAATTTCAGGCTGGGTGACCCCAATAATGCAAGATTTAAAAAAGTGGTTTGACCTAGAAAAAGGCTGGGCATTTAGAAAACAGGCTTGAGAAGGTGTTTTTCTCCTGCCCTTAAACCACAGGATTTGGTTGCTTTTGTGATACAGCAAGGCAGTGGAAAAACTGCCTTGTCAGAAATTTCCCAGGAGAGGAGAAACATTAGCAACAGGTGAGGCTGTGAGCTAGAAAAGGTGGAGCAAACAGCGTCAAGCCTCACCTGTCGTCTGGGAGGGTGGAGGCTGGAATCGGGAAATAAACAGCGAAACCTGATCAGAAGGAAAGGAACTGGAGATTGCCCAGGTTGATTGTCCAACTATGGAGCTTTTGGTGGACTTCAAGAGTTTGATATCTCCCCTGGAACCTTGGTTGGTGTAGATCACCTGTAGCTTTCTTTTCCTGAAGACATCTTATTCCATTGAGAAATAGGACAAGCCAGCTCCTGCATGCCAGCTCTTTCTCTGGCCTTTTAAACCTGCCTGAAACCAGTGAGACCAGCATCCTGGCTTGTAAAATCTCCCCAGTCTAACCAGTCTGAGGGACAGGCCTTCCTAGACTCTTCTAGAGATTTCATGGCTTCATGGCTTCCTCCAGGAGCCCAGAGGAAGAGCCCCTTCGCAGCCCTTTCCGTCTGACTCCCCCACCAGCTTTGGGGGATGAGTACTATCCTTTTGGGGGTGAGGGCCAGCCCCCCTATGTGGGGGAGGCTGCTGCTGCTGGAGCTGCTGGGGAAGGGGATTCCGAAGAGGTGGACCTGGGGGTGCTGCTTCAGAGGAAAGAACAGGACTTGTTGTTGGCAGCAGAATTGGGAAAGATGCTCCTGGAACGTAATGAGGAATTGGAACGACGCTATGATGAACTGATGAAGGAACATTTGGAAGTCAAAGAGGTGAGGCAGGTGGCTGGAATAAGACAGGGGAAGAGCTGATATGGACTGAGTTTCTTTGGTCAGATGCAACACTTGCTAGGGTTAGGGTTGGGATTGGGATTAGTGCTGGGTTTGGAGTTAGGGTTGGGATTGGGGTTAGGTTTAGGGTTGGAGTTGGGTTTGGGTTTGGGATTAGGGTGGGGTTGGAAATAGGGTTGGAGTTAGGACAGGTTGGGATTAGGGTTGGAATTAGGGTTATTGAGGTTAGGGTCAGGTTTGGGGTTGGGATTAGGATTAGGATTGGAATTAGGATTGGGGTTGGAATTAGGCTCCATCATGTTGTCTCGGTCCAGTATATTTGCTAGGTTCCTATGAAAAGAAAAAGGAAGTCTCAGAGATGGGGATTTTCTCATGGGCTCTTCTGTATTGTACTTTCTCGCCAAAGTTATGGATTCAGAATCCTACAGCTCACCCCTTGTTGCCATCCTCTCCTTGAACCCTTTACCCTGTCTGCTTCCCGGGTTTCTATTTTCATCCTTCTCACCCAGCGTTTATCGCTGGGATTTCACTGGTCATCTACTACGCTCCAGCAACCTTCAAACATCAGACCATATTTTATTCCATGTTTACCCCTTTGATTTCTTTCCAGGATGGAGATAATACATTTAATTAAAAAAAAAGTCTTAGGTTGCATCAGGACATTCGTTGAAGTAGGAACATTCTACAGGTAGTCTTTGATTTACAGCAGTTCATTTAACAACCATTCAAAGTTACAACGACCTTGAAAAAAAATGACTTTTTCACACGTATGTGGCCATTGCAGTATTTCTATGGTCAGACGGTCAACCTTCAGAGTTCTTGGCAACCAACTCATATTTATGACGGTTGGAGTGTCCCTAAGATCATGTGATCCCCTTTTATGGCCTTCCAACAAGCAAAATCAATGGGGAAGCCAGTTTCACTTAAACAACCATGTTACTAACTTAAGAACTGCAGGATTCACTTAACAACGATGGCAAGAAAAGTCGTAAAATGGGGCAAAACTCACTCAACAAATGTCTCACTTAGGAACATATATTTGGGGCTCAATTATAGTCATAAGTTGAGGACCACCTATATAGTATTTTTCTTCCATAGGTTTTCTCATAGGAAGGCTAGCAGTTTGACCTCTGTGGCGATACCCATGGCTCTACCGCTGTGTCTCCACACCCTTCATTCTGAGCACAGATGTGTGCCAGCATCCCTGTTCACTCCCTCGTACTTACACCTACTTTTATTCAGCACCAAGTAATCGATTTCAAAGTTTCTTGTGTTGATACTGCTCCACGCTTTGCTTTTCTCCCTTCTCTTCCATCATTTAATCTTTATTTGTTTGAATTTATGAGCTGCCCAATTCCTACTTCTGGGTGCGCTGGCCCAACAGTGGTAGATTTGCCTAACTCCTACAAGCTATGTGTAAACATGAACTTGTGACATTTAGGGTGGAATCCTGAACAAAATAAATTAGAGCGCAGGTGGGTGAACCAGCTGCATGTAACTCCACTGTGTGCTCAGGTGAGTGAAGCAGAGATGGTGAGGAAAAGAGGCTGTGAGAAATGAAATCCAAAACCCTAGTATACAGGTACTTTAGTCCTCAGTTTATGACTACAATTGGGACTAGAATTTCCATTGTTAAACAAGATGATTGTTACCTGAGTTGCACCCAATTTTACAATTTTTTTTTGCTATGGCTGTTACATGAATTACTGCAGTCGCAAAGTGAATCCCATGGTCATTAAATGAACCCAGCTTCCCCCACTGACTTTGCTTGTTAAAAATCAGCTGGGAAGGTCACAAATGATGATTACTTGACTCCAGGATGCTGCAACTATCCTAAATATTTGCCGGTTGCTAAGCACCCAAATTCCTATGACGATGGGGAGGCTGCGAGGACAAGTCATAAGTGGTCATAAGTGTGAGGAGTGGTCATAAGTGCGAGGACAAATCATAATCTTTTTCAGTGCCGTGGTGACTTCAAATGATTGCTAAACAAATGTAAGTTGAAGACTCCCCATATAATCCGTCCCAACAGAACTCATTGATGTAGACAGGATTGTGAAATTGCCTTCTGGAGTTGTTTGTACGAGAGTAACTGGAACGGCGCAGCCACCTTTGCTTCCTAGGGTTGCCTGTGTCTTATCCCCCCGATCATGATTCACACAGTTTCATCCCGCTGCTTTCCATGTCACAAAACATGAGAATCAGGAGGGGTTTTTTTTGGCAGTTGTTCATCTCCTCCCCTCCCAAGAGCTGTTTCAGTACAGAATTGCAAATCAGAAAACATTTCCACTGGGCTTCAACGCATGATTTAACACAGAGGCCCCCAACTCCCTCGGGGTGTGTGGACCTGCACCGGGCCGTGGCATGCCAGAAACCAGGCTGCGCAAGCAAGCAAAGCTCCATCCGCGGGTGGCAGGCAGCATGTTAAACCAGGCCCTCGCCAGTCTGTGGAAAATCTCTCTCTAGGGCACCCAGTCCCTGGCACCCAAAAGGGGGGCCGCTGACTTAACAGGAATGTGTTAAATGGATTTACATTGTACAGCTCGTCCTCAACTTATGATCACAAATGAATGGGAGGAACCAGAATTTCCATTGCTAAGCAAGGCAGCCATTAGTCGTAACCTATTTTGTGACGTTTTTAAAAATCATAAATCATCTGGCTTCTTCCATTGACTTTGCTTGCCAGAAGCTGGCTGGGAAATGGTCGAAAATGACAATCATAGAACCCCAGGGTGCTTTTAAATACTGTTATTTGGCACCTGATTTCGATCCCGTGGCCGTGAAGGTGCTGCAGATGTGAGGATGGGTCCCAAGTCACTTTTTCATGGCCTTGGTAACTTCAAACAGTCGATAAATGAATGGATGTAAGTTGAGGGGTACTTTGACCTCACAAGATAGAAATCACCCACAAGGGAAAGAATGCACGAAGGTTTTAGACCTCTACTCCAAAGATTGGACAACCATTTGTCTGAAATGGTGTCAAGTTTTCCTGCCTGATCAGGGTGTTGGACGAGAAGTCCACCAAGGTCCCTTTCGTGTTATTCTGTTAAAACATTACCTGTTGCTTCAGCCGACCCTATACCTAAGGCATTGTGCCCCTTTCCAGTGAGGATGGGTAGAATAAGTAAGTAGAATGGAAGAGAACGAAACAGAACAGAATAACAAAGTTGGAAAGGGACCTTGGACGTCTTTTAGTCCAACCCGCAGCTGAGGCAGGAAACCTTATACCATTTCAGACAAATGTAGATCTAGTGTTTTTCAGATATATGTAGGATATCCAACATTAGGCCTTGCAAATCTGAAAGTTTGCCGGGTTGGTTTTCTTGAAGCTGTGCCTACCACATAAACATTATTAGCTCTAACATGGGAATTCTTGCTTAGCGTGTGAAGCAACATTGGCATCTGCTGGAATCAACTCTGTTTTTCAGAGAAGCCTCACGTGCTGTTTTTCAGCCCATTCCCTTCTTTTCCTTGCAGAGAAATTTTGCCTTCTTAGCCTCTCATCTCCCCCCCCCCCGCCACCCCCAAATATTCTGCTTCTGGAGTTCTTAACCTTGAATGTAACCGGCATCAACTAGGGAATTTCTGGGCATGCTACTGGCAGAACCAGTTTGGCCCAGAGGAAGGCATCACAAAACCAACATGAGTCTGCTACCAGGGTGGATATAATTACCTAAGAGGGAAAGAAGGATATAAAAGTGAGTGAAACTGGCAATAAAAGAAGTGAGAAAGCACCCAGCATGAGTCACTCTGTTTCCACAGAACCTCACCCGCTAATGTTGGTACCCAACTATTTCTGCATCGGGCTGTGTAGAAATAATTGGGCTCTTTTCAAGCCATGGCAGCTACAACTTTACGACACTTTTGAAAAACAATGTTCTTTTGCTGTGCCAAACCTGCTTGACTGTTGTTGGTGCGATCCTGTTAGGAGATCTGCCTTCTCATACTTCCTCCAGGTGTGTCTGAATGAAGTAAGATTCCTTTAAGTACTTTTTTCCTTGGAATGTATTTGCATTTTATTGGCATTGCCTAGGGAAGCTGCTGCAGCGGAAGTTGAGAACCTCTTATTAGGAATTCTATACCCTGTGCAATCTGTTGCTATAACTTGATTTCCAGGAAAGTTAAATAAAAATCCAAGAAAAGGAAGGAAAAATGGAAAAAAATTACAATAGCTTTAATTATCACTAGCTGACAAACAAAACAAGCTGCAGTTGGTTTACTCTCAACCACTAATTAGTGGATTGCTGGCAGAAAACGAGGCAGCTAACCTCGTTGGCCTGATTTTTTGCTGGCAAGCAAGGAGCAAATTGTACCATTGTGGTATATTGACATATACAGTGAAGTCTCCATGCAAGGTCTGATCCACCCTGGGATCATATCACAGCAATAGCAGTAGTACTTAGACTTATACACCACTTCACAGTGCTTCAGAGCCCTCTCTAAGCAGTTTACAGAGTCAGCCTCTGGCCCCCAACAATCTGGGTCCCCATTTTACCCACCTTGGAAGGATGGAAGGTTGAGTCAACCTTGAGATTTGAGTTGCTGAACCGCTGGCAGCCGACAGTCAATAGAAGTAGCCTGAAGTACTGCATTCAACCACTGTGCTACCATGGCACAGTGTTACAGGGTTGTTGTTGGGGGTAGTCCTTGACTTAAGACCACAATTGGGACAGGAATTTCTGTTGCTAAGCAAGGCAGTTAAGTGAGTCTTGCCTGATTATTATTTTTTTGCAGAGGTTGTTAAGAAAAAATGACTGCAGTTGTTAAGAGAGTCATGCTGTTATTCAGAGAATCTGGCTTCCACCATTGATTCTCCTTGTTGGAAGCCATCTATGAAGGTTGCAAGTGGTGATTACCCAACCCTGGAACACTGCAACAGCTTGGTCTAGTGGTTAAGGCACCAGGCTAGAAAATGGGAAACCTTGAGTTCAAATCCCATTTTAACCATGAAAGCCAGCTGGGGGATTTTGGGCCAGTCACCCTCTCTTAACCCAACAGGGTTGTCGTGGGGAAAATAAAAACAGGTGTTTTGAATATGTTCACCACCTTATTTGAAAAAGTAATACATGTGGAATACAAACAAGCAATAGTAAATGAATGTTGATTGCAAAGTGCCTTAATTTTGATCATGTGACAATGGGGAATGCAGCAACAGTCATAAGTGCGAGGACTGGTTATAAGTCACATTTCTCAGTTCTACTGCCATTTTGAACAATCACTAAATGAACAGTTGTCAGTTAAGAACTATTTGTATAGAGTGGGGTTTGCTGTACCTTGAGGCATTCTGTGGTAGATAATCTTGCGAGGAAATTCGTGAATAGGACTGACTTCCTCTATGGGAAAAGTGCATTAGGGGTAACCCTACCATGAGGCAGACCCCTTGGGAGTTAATCCTGGGAGGAAAATGATTGCTGATGCCTCATGTTGTCAGATAATCCCTGGAAAGCTCTTCCAACAGTGCCTAAGGTCGTGAAGAGACTAACAGTGTGACTTCTTGAGAGCAGGAGGGATCCCTTTTCTACCCAAATCACTAGGGCTGCCCCGTGGACCTTCTGCCTCTCCATAATAGACCTTTTCCTTTCCTTGTGGGACTTGGCTGCAGAGTCAAAGATCATGATATTTCTCTGTGTCCATCTGCATGAAAGACTAATGAGGCAGGACCTTTTCCCTATATCCAGAAGTTGGTTGGATTAGCCACTGAAACTTAATTCCAGGTGACATTCACCATCGCAGCCAAGGCAACTGGCTGGTTTCGGGAGTCATAAGGTAGGCCAGATGGCATGAGTCAATCTGCCTTTTGTTTTATGTCCTTAGACCCTTCTGTCACAGGGCCTGGCAGCTTCCTTAATAACAGGAAGATCATCCTGTTTCTGGTGTCCACTGAGATGTTGCCTTTAAAAAAAGAAAGAAAAGAAAGGGTTTCATTCATGAAGCTTTTGACAAGCCGACATTTGCGTTCAAGAGTCTGGAGCTTGTGGCATGCTGTATTCAGATCCGTTGACTGTAGGGTGTCCACCATCTGGTGTCCTCCAGATAAAATAGACTGCCCTTCCAGTATTTTGGCATCTGATTTTGCAGTCAGATTTTTACAGAGAAATGAGAGGTTATGGAAGAAACTGACAACCCTGAGTCTGAAAGAATTTAGCCTGAAGTCCTGGGAATTGGGAGGGCCATTTAGGGCCGTGATGGCGAACCTATGGCATGTGCACCACAGGTGGCACGCAGAGCCATTTGTGCAGGCATGCAAGCCCCAGCCAAATTTACTTGCACTGCGCATGCGCGTGCCTCTCAGCTGATTTTTGGCCCCTTTTAGGCTTTTTTCACCTTCCTGGAGGCTCGAGAGAAGCCTCTGCAGCCTCGGGAGGCCAAAAAATGGGCCATCTGGAAATACTGGAAGTGCCAAAATGGGCCCATTTTCAGCCTCCAGTGGCTCCAGAGGCTTACTTTGAGCCTCCAGGAGGGCAAAAACAGGCTCAAATGGGCCAAAAATCAGCTGGGAGGCACGCGCATGTGCAGTGCAGATAAGGGGGCGGGGGGCATTGTGTGCGCATGTGCAGGGGGAGTGAGGCACATTGCATTGTGGGTGCTGGCGCATACACATTCGGCACACCACTACAAAAAGGTTTGCCATCACTGACTTAGGGAGATGCTGCACATACTGTATAATGGATAATGAGGTCCTATATCCCCGTGCAAAAGTCTAGTAGCACAAAAGCCCAATTTGGTAAGAATTTTTGCTAATTATTAAAAATCACATCCTGAAAATATTTCTGTTTCCAGTTGAAAAAAAGCATTCATGGGTTATATCTGAATACTGTATTCTGAATAGGGAAGATTGCTTACCAATCGTAGATCATTTTGCTTATGTCATTATGGCCATTGATATCCAACCATCCTCTAATTCTTCCTTAAAATCACCCTATGAGATAGTCCAATACAGGTAGTCCTCAACTTATTACCACAGTTGTGCCCAAAATTTCTGTTGCTAAGCAAAACAGTTGTTAAGTGACTTTTGCCCTACTTTATGACTTTTTTGCTTCAGTTGTTAAGTGAATCACTGCAGTTGTTCAGTTAGTGACAGGGTTGTTAAGTGAATCTGTTGACTTTGCTTATCAGAAGGTCGCAAACGATGACCACCCTGAGTCACATTCAATGAACCAGTTGCTAAGTGTCTGAATTTTGATCACATGATCTTGGAGTTGTAACTATGAAAAATGGTCATAAGTCACTTTTTTTAAAGTACCGTTGTAACTTTGAACCATCACTAAATAAACTGTTGTAAGTCAAAAACTACCTGTACCAGAAACTTGAGTGCCTAATAGAAGGCATGATTTGAAGTCAAGGTGTTCTGGATCCCAAATCCATTCTGGATCCTTCTTCTACACCAGTCTTGAGTCTCTCCTCCTGGCCCTCACATCTCCTGCTTTGCTTTCTTGTAGCATCTTGAACAAGAGAAACACGAACTCCGGAGGCACCTTGAATCCGGCCGGGCAGAATTTGAAACCCGGACGGCAGAGCTGGAGGCTGATTTGGTGACCGCCCGAGTCCAGCTGGGGCAGAAGCGTCTAGAACAGCAGGACACCAGTCGAGAGAGCTCCCAGGCAGTCTTGGACCTTTCAGAACAAAATCAACGTCTGGTGGAACAGCTCAGTCAGGTGAGGTGGGACTTGGACAGGGTTTCCTCTGCCCAGAGGTGGCATTCAGCAGGTTCTGACCAGTTCTGGAGAACTGGTAGCGGAAATTTTGAGTAGTTCGGAGAAGTGGCAAATGCCTCCTCTGACTGGCCCCGCCCCCATCTATTCTCTGCCTCCCAAGTCCCATCTGAGTCTTATTTTGTTGCCCTGAGAGAACGGAGCTGGAAAGCAGGTTAGTGAGGTGGGGAGGGAATGGGGATTTTACAGTATCCTTCCCCTGCCATGCCCACCAAGCCATGCCCACAGAACCTGTAGTGAAATTTTTTGAATCCCACCACTGTTCTAAGTTAATCTGTGATTCTGTGAGCAACTCAATCTGCCTGCCTGCTTTGCCTGCTTTGAGTAAAAGTTGCTCTTTTTTAATAAAAAAAATCAATATTTACATAAATATTTATAATGTTTACATAAAAGCCATGCCCACCCAATCACATGACCACCAAGCCACACCCACAAATTAGGCCCACCCCACAGAACCAGTTGTTAAGAAATTTGAATCCCACCCCTGCACCGCACTAATTTTATTTGTGCAATAGATCAGTCAAATGTTTCTTCTGCTGCCAATTCGGTGGCAATGAAGGTAAAGGGGAAAAACATGACATTTATGAGTGCAATCTAGTAGGTTTGGTTCTCAATGTTCTTGTTAAGAGAAGAGGAAGCTTGGCTAAAGGCCTGTATTGTAATATATTTTAGCATGCTGTCATATCCAGCAGTTGAGAATATATGAAGCTCAGGGTTGAGCTAACAAGTTTTTTATGTTCTCTGGGCTGGGTTGTTCTCCTGAAGATGTTTATTACCCTGCTAGGAAACAGAAAAACAAGCAAGAACTCAACACTGAATATGAGTGAACCGGATTAGAGTCTAGGGTAGTTTTCAGGTGAATCACTCGTGTTAAAAAGGGTGCAAAATGCTAGGGGATTTTACAAGTTTCAGAGACAAGTACGAGATTGCTGAATGAGGCCCCCTCTTTTAAAACGCCTCACACCTTGTTTGATCTGCTGGTTGCAGAAATGCACAAGAGAAGGAGGATTCAAACCACTGAAATTTAAAAAAGTATGTATCAGTCTAGCTACTGTAAATCTTAAAATACATCAGAGTGGTCAGCCTTGCTGAGTTCACAGACCTTCACTGAATCCCATCCCTCTTAAAAAGGCTGAATCCATCAGTATTACTCAGAGGAGAGAGAAGTAAGAACGGATGGTTTTATCAAACCCTCGCAAGATGTCATGCATAGAGTGACTTGGCTGATTTGGGGCAGCTATAGAAACTGAAGAAATAAATAAAATGGATATAAATATTTTTCCTAGCAGTTTCTGGTCTAGAAACAAGAAGAATAGAAATCCCAAACTATTGAATTGACAGAACTGTAGCTATTGGTAAGGCTCTGGGGCGTTAAGCTGGATATGTCCTAATCTCTGGTTATTAAGCAATAAATTGTCTGAAGGTGTAGAGTTTCCTGCTTGAGCAGGGGTTGGAGTAGAAGACCTCCAAGGTCCCTTCCAACTCTTGTTATCCTGTAAGTATCCCTAGCTAGAATTTTGTGGATAGTGGCAGGGAGCAGAAAGTAAAGGAATCTTCCCATAGCAGATGCCTTCTAAGTGCTGAATTACAATTTCCATCATCCTATGCCACCCATGGAAAACCTACCAAGCCTCTGCCTCCCATCTACCTCAAGCAACAGAGCTCGTGGTGTGAATGACAGAGGTTTTTTATTTATTTATTTATTTGATTTGTCAATTGTTTGCAAGATAATAATTCTCTCTACAATAACAGCCCAGTGAATAGAATGTGCCAAGCTAGAATGAAAAACGTCACTGAGTCACATTATGTTGTTCCTATAACAGCACCAACCAGACTGACCAGATTCTAGCAAGATAGGAATCTAACCAGAAGTAAGACAAGAAAGTCAAACAAGGGAGATAAGGGTTCTAAAATACCTACTCCCTGCCCTCAAAAGTTAAAAGAAAAGATGTGATAGATTTAAAAAACCATTTAAAAATTAAAGCCATTGGCCCGATTCTTTTTGGGCCTTTGCATTTCTGAAATTTGTTAATGAGATGTAAAAGGTTATCTTGTAAAATGGACAATTACATAGGTTGGTGACACACAGCCAAAGAATTATTGAAACTGAGTAATACTCCCCCTCTCTCTTACTAATATGTGATATTCTTATCAGTGTCCAATATTGCTAACAAACTATCTAAAAAGTTGTTTGATTAAAATATATTTGTGAAAATGTTTATTTTCCTTTTAACATTCAAGACTACCATCTGTTCTTATCTTTGGAAAATTAAGGCAATGTAAAGGATGCACATCTTAGAGATGATGTTAAGGATGTCTTAGGACAAAGGTCAAACCATGTCTCAACACAGACTAACAAGAAAGAGGGACCCAAATATGATTTCTTTCCAGAAACAACACCTCATTGAAAGCTTGTAATACAGCTGCAGATGTTCATGTCCCAAATCATTAAATTGTTAAGGAAAGACATTTTTTTTATACGTGCTAACAACACGTTCTTCCCTTAGATAACTAGAAAGTAAACATCTCACACTGTTCTTGCATGAACCCAAGTATTTGGTTGCATAGGTAGTTCTCATGACTAGTTGCTTAGCAACCATTCAAAGTTACAATTGATGTACAAGTAGTCCTCGACTTACGACTATAATTGAGCCCAAATTTTCTGTTGCTGAGACAGTTTGTTAAATGACCTTTCTTGCCACAATTAAGTGAATCCCTGCAGTTGCTACATTAGCAACATGATTGTTAAGTGAATCTGACTTTGCTTGTCAGAAGGTCACAAAAGGTGACCCTATAACCTGGGACACTGCAACCGTCATAAATATGAAACAGTTGCCAAGGGTCTGAATTTTGATCACATGACCAGGGGGATGGTACAATGGTTGTAAGTGTGAAAAATGGTCGTAGGTTACTTTTTTCTGTGCTGTTGTAACTTTGAATGGTCACTGAATGAACTGTTGCAAGTTGAGGACTATCTGTACCTGGAAGCTACTTACGACCCAGATTTGAAGGATCTGACAGTCACCTCCCCTCCCCTCCAAGTCCTGCATCTGGACTTCAGAGGCTTAGAAATTGGACCCCACTGGTCAACTGCTTGTGTTTTACAATGGTTTTGCCAAAATTCAGTAGTTACTTCCACTTTTTGCCATAACTGCACCCGCTGTGAACCATTGGTTTGCTTAATAACTATGGTGTTTGCTTAGTAAGCATGGCAGCTGCTGTATGATTGCTGTGTCAGCTAAACCAGGGGTTCCCAACCACCAGGCCCCAGACCGGTACCGGTCTGTGGAACATTTTCTACCGGGCCGCCGGTTTGCTGGGCGCCGCCATCTTGTTTCAATGATAAAGTGCTTCCGGGTGAGCTTTTCCGGTTGGAAAGCGGCGTTTGGGTCCTGAAGGAATCCTCGCGCCTTAGTTTCATAAAAGGGGGGGGGGGGTGGCTTCGAATGAAACTAAGGCGCGAGGATTCTTTCAGCACCCAAGGCAAGGCGAGCCAAGCGACCGTCCTGAAGCCGTCCCGAAGCCCATCGACAAAGGTACAAAGGAGGCATTGAAGGTGGTGGGGAGAAGTGGAGGATGGCTGGCTGGCCGGTCGCTCAGCTCGCCTTCCCTTGTCATGCGTGCTGATGCCGGTACCGGGCCGCGGATCACTTTGTGATGCCGGTACCGGGCCGTGGCACAAAAAAGGTTGGGGGCCACTGAGCTAAACAACCATCACAAAAGAGATTGGGTTGGTCACATGACTGACCTATTTTACGACCATCACGACTTACGAATCTGATGGGCAGGGTCTATTATAGTCGTAAGATGAGGACTGCTCACCATTTTGCATAATCCAGAGCCAAGAATTGCATGGAAAAGTGGTTTAAAAGGATCCTTTCTATTGTCAAAGCCTAACCAAGAGCTGTCTGCTCCACCATTTACAATAGGTAACTCACTTGGAGCAGCAGCTCCAGGAAAATCTGATTGGGTTACGTGCAGAACATCGGACTCTGACCCTTTGCAACGCTGAGCATGCTGCCCGGGTGCAAAGTCTGCAAGCTGAGGTAAGAAAAAAGACGGTTGATTAATATCTCCCTTCGGGCTATAGATGCCAGGTGGGTAAAAGACCGTAACCCTTTCTTCTCCACCATTCTAGGAGTGTTGTTGCTTAATCTGAAAATGTTTGATTTAGTGCATGGTAAATTGGTAACTGATGACTCAGAGCTACTGTACCAAGTAGATCTGGGCTAAAAAAATACTGACAACCACCTGATGGCAGCACAGACTTGGTGTTTTCTGCCATTTTGCTGCCATCTAGAGGTCATTGCAATTCTGCAGCCCTCATCTAGTAGCCATAAAACAATTCTTCCTTCTCTTTCCAAACCTATGTTGCACAGCAGGGATTGCCCAGAGCTAAAAAAAAAAGACATGTTTATATTCAAGTAGGTCTTCCTTCCCTCTTTTTTAACTTTTATGTGCATGATGTGCGCCATATGATCCAGAAGCGGGCATGTGTGCTCACTGCTTGTGCAAACAGAGCTGCATATGTGCTTGTCTACTGCTCACGTGGAACCCCCCCCCCCCCCCCCCCCCCCCCCCCCCCCCGATCCGTAAAGCTGAAAAGATTGGGGAACTCTGCAACGGCTCCATGTCTGTCCTATCTGAACATCTGACTTTAATTATTGCTGTGAAAGTCTTCATCTGTAGAGACAATAATCAATCTTTGAGTTCCTTCAACTCCTAATATACGTAGTTGATTATTAGCACGATGTACCAGAGCTGGTATTCAGCAGGTTCTGACCAGCTCTGGAGAACCGGTAGAGGAAATTTTGAGTAGTTTGGAGAACCAGCAAATAGCACCACTGACTGGGCCCACCCCACATCTATTCTCTGCCTCCCGAGTCCCAGCTGATTGTCTGGGTCTGTTGCCCTGCACAGGAGAACAGAGCTGGAAAGCAGGTTAGTGGGGTGGGGAGGGAATGGGGATTTTGCAATATCCTTCCGCTGCCACGCCCATCAAGCCACACCCACCAAGCCAAGCCATGCCCACCAAACCGGTAGTAAAAAAAATTGAATCCCACCACCGCGATGTAGCCTAGGTCATTCTTTTCCAGGATTCAGGAAATGCTGGACAATTTGGAGTCTCTGTTTATATTTCCTACAAGGTCCTTGAGCGTCACTCTGGAGCACCTTGGGTAACTCTCCCAGAATCCTCATAATCCTCTTTCTCTGAAACCCCTGAAAATTACTGTATTAATCATGATGCCCAGTTCTCAAAAATGGCTGATGGAGCAGCAGGGTTGGTTATGTCAAGGAAAGTGTGTGGCTCTCTGAATGGAGGCCATTTTGAGAAGTATAGGTAGTCAACTTATGACTACCATTTGTTTCATCACTGTTCGAAGTTATAACGGTGCTGGAAAAAAACAAGACTTACGACCAATCACAGCGTCCTGCAGTCATACGATCCAAATTCAAGATCTTGGCAACCAGCATCTATTTACAAAGATTATAGCATCCTGGGGTCATATGATCACCATATGTTACCTTCCCAGGTAGCTTTCAACAAGCAAGGTCAATGGGGAGAGCCAGATTCACTTCATTTTCTGTATCCTGCACAGTAATGGATTTGCAAGCTGTGCAGATGTAAGTAGATAAACTCTACAAAACATCCATAAAAAAGTACATTTATTGGTTCATCAGGTATCCTCATAACTCACATTTGTGACAAAGTTCTTCTTTAATGACCAATCCGTTGTATACCTGCCTTTTAGTAAAAGATGGTTATCTCCTAACCCATCTCCTAGCGATAGAAAGCAGCTGCCATGAGTTAGAGAGTTCAGGCAAAAGTGAGGAAAACTCCCCCCAACCCATGGAGGGTTAAATTAGTGACCAATCAGGATTACAGATTTGGCCACGTGACATGAACTACATTTCCCAGGATACCTTTAACTACATTTACCATGATGCATTCCCTAAAGGGGACAGCTCATAATTCCTAAGTAACTATCCAATTCCCATAGACTGGCTGGGACAGCACACTTTACAACCATGTGATTTGCTTAATGATTCTGGTAAAAAAGTTTTTAAAATCAGGAGCAGTCACATGATGACTCACCTAACAAATGCACTGCTTAGTGATGGAAGTTCCAGTCACCATTGTGTTCATAAGTTGAGGACTATCAGTGTTACATTAACAATTTTGCATGCAGAGAAAGATGGGAGGATGAAAACTTGTATTTGAGGGTCCTTGGTGCTCTCTGAGCTTCGTAGATTTTTTGAAGATGTTACATTACCCAAAATAGGTAACATCATTTGTTACAAACCTGTATTAGGAGCCATGAAGGTACAGTGGTTAGGATGCAGTATTACAAGATAACTCTGCCTGTTACAGCTGGAAGTTTGATCCTGACCAGATCAAGGTTGACAGCTTCCCATCCTTCCAAGATTGATAAAATGAGAACTCAGATTTCTGGGGGCAATATGCTGGCATTTGTAAACTGCTTAGAGAGTGTCGTATGAAGCAGTATATAAATCTAAGTGCTATTGCTATTAGTTCTTCAGTTTGTGCAGTCTCTTACTGGTATGACAAATGGACAATCTATTACCCAGTCTGGGTTGGGAACCACACTTGGGTGATATCTGTTATTTAATGTCTTTTTATTTTATTTTATTTTAACAAAGATAGGTATGCAGTGTTATTCCAGATTTTCTGGGTTTGAAAGAAAAATATCCCACTTGTCCCAAACCAAAAATGAGACAACGGACTGACTGAGCAGGGAACGGCGATGTGGGGCTGATCTCCTTTCTTCTTATGCTCATCTCTGATCTCTTCCTTCGCAGAATCGTCTGCTTCAAGAGCGGAAGCAGGATATGGAGAAACAGATCCGTCAGCTTCGCGAGGAGAATGAAGCTATCCAGGCACTGGTGGACACGTTACACGAGAACCTCCTCCTTCTACGCAAAGAGAGCAGCGAAAAGCAGCTGAGGGTATAGTGATATTTCTACTTGCACGTCAGTGTTATGTTGCAGGGGAACGATGGCCAATCTTGAAACTGAAGGGACGAAACAGAAGGAGATATGAAACCACTGGTGGGAAAATGAGTCACCCGGGGTTGGTTATGCAAAGAATTAGGAAGAAGAATTCCATGAAATTTGAGCGAAATACCTCTTCCCGGCAAGCTATTTTCATCCTCTCTTCTTCCTGTTTCTCTTTCCATCCAAAGTTTAAACAGGTAGAAGCGGAAGCTGAGGAACTTCGGACTGCCAATAGGCGCCTCCAGCATCAAGTCAAGGATCTGAAGGAAGAGATCCGTCTGCATGAGTTAGATACCTCTGTTACCTCCATCCAATCTGAGATCGAAAGCAGTTTAGGCGATGCCCCAGGAGCCCCTGGACAGACACCGAAGGTAAAACAGAAGGATGCAGCTGGGAAGAGAACTCAGGTTCCCTTTTTAGTTCAGCCGGGGATATTTTCAATGTCAAAAGATGATTGTAATTTGTATGCTGATTTGAGGGAGTGCAGAGCATTTATACATCTGATTCATTATTCTGATTCATCCCAAATGTCTATGGAGTTTCTCAGTCATGGTTGTCCCAAAGGTGCTTTTTCAAAACTGGAATTTGTTTTTCCTTGAAGACATTTTGCTTCTCATCCAAGAGAAGCTTCTTCAGTTCTACCTGCATGAAGGAGAATTCTCCAACATTCAGACAGAACTGAAGAAGCTTCTTGGATGAGAGGCAGGGGTGGGATTCTACCAGTTCGCACCTATTCGCTAGAACCGGTTGTTAACATTCTAAGCAGTTTGGAGAACCGGTTGTTAGAAGAAATTACTGGCTTAATCCTGTAAGGAAGGCAGGAAGGAAACATTCTGGTATTGCTTACAGAAACTGCCTCCCATTAACCCTTATTACATTCTTGGCAGGACTAGACTTCCTGTCTCAGGAACTTCTCTCGAGTTTTTTTCCCGTCCTTTGCTGGTACTTTGCTTGTGTGGAGTGACCATTGAAAAAAGTGACTTATGACCGTTTTTCACACTTACGACTGTTGCAGCATCCCCACAGTCATGAGAGGCCAGGCGAGGACACGCAATGTGAGTGATGTTGATTTGGCCACGGCCAGCCAGTAATATGACCACCAAGCCATGTCCACCCAGTCACATGACCACCAAGCCACGCCCACCAACTAAGCCACACCCACAGAACCGGTTGTTAAAAAAATTGAATCCCACCCCTGATGAGAAGCGAAACGTTTTCAAGGAAAAACAAAGTCCAGTTGCCTTTTGGAAAAGCCTCTTTGGGGCAACCTTTCCCACCCTTTGGGTATGCAGATAACCCTCGATTTACAACCGTATACCAATCCTTGACTTACAAGTATTAGTTTAGTGGCTATTCAAAGTAATAATGGCCCTGGAGAGTGACTTACAACTGACCCTCACACTTATGACCCTTGTAGTATTCACAAAAATTCAGATGCTTGGCAACCAGGCTATACTTGCAATAGTTGCAGCGTCCTGTGGTCATACAATCACCATTTAGAATAGACTAGAATAATGGAGTTGGAAGGGACCTTGGAGGTCTTCTAGTCCACTCCAACCACCTGCTCAGGCAGGAACCCCTATACCATTCCAGACAAATGGTTGTCCAATCTCTTCTTTAAAACTTCCAGTTTTGGAGCATTCGCAACTTCTGGAGGCAAGTTGTTCCACTGGTTAATTGTTCCCAATGCCAGGAAATTTCTTACTGGTTCTAGTTTGCTTCTCTCCTTGATTAGTTTCCAAGATTTGCAATCTTCCCAGCTGGCTTCCGACAAGCAAAGTCAGCGGGTCAAGCTGGATTTGACCACATGATTCAGCGAACAAGTGCAGGGACTCACTTCTTAACAACTGTGCTGAAAAGGTCATCAAATTGGCCCTGACTCACTTAATAATCATCTTGCTTAACAGCAAAAATTCTGGTCCCAACTGCAGTTTTAAGTTGAGGACTACCTGTATTCTGAGTATATTGACTGGGGACATCTGAAGCGTGCGATCTTTTTACCTAGCTGGGACAAATTAAAAGGCACTTCTGCACAGCACAGGGTTCACTCTATTTCCAGCCCTAATGCCTCACAACCCAATAGGAAGATGGCCTTTGGGTATCTTCCTTTCTGTGGGACTTGAAACAGTGAAAAGAGGCAAGGAATTACACCAGGAACAAGTCAGTTCTCTCATCCCTGGACCAAGAAGGAAGTCCAGGGGACTTAAATAATGCCTGGTGAAAGAGCTATCACATCCTCTGAATAATTGCAAACCCTCTCTCTCAGTATCCTGCACACAGACAGATATTGTTTTATTTTCTAAAAGAAATAAATTGCCTCCACACCTGCCAGATGTTGAATATGCTTGGCAGTTAAATAAATAAATAAAGGAACAACTGTTTCTGGGGAGCCATTGGGCTGTGAAAAATAGCATTTCATTCTTATCAAAAAGCCTCTGAAAAGAGTGATATTAGAAAAATAATAGGATGATAGGTTCTCCTGGGTCCAGGTAGGCTTATCAGTAACAAACAATGCACAAAACTGCAATTTGGTCCAAAGACAAATAAGTGATATCTTAATGCAACATGGGAGTCCCCATGAAGAATTGTCCTGGAAAGATTCACATGAAGACAATGTGATAGTCCTCGACTTACGACCACAACCGATCTCAAAATTTCTACTGCTAAGCAAGACAGTTGTTTTGCCCCATTTTATGACCTTTCTTGCCAGAGTTGTTAAGCGAATCACTGCAGTTGTTCAGTTAGTAATATGGTTGTTAAGCAGAGGTGGGATTCAAATTTTTTAACAACTGGTTCTGTGGGCATGGCTTAGTTGGTGGGCGTGGCTTGGTGGTCATATGACTGGCTGGACATGGCTTGGTGTCATGTTATTGGATGGGCGTGGCCAACTCAATATCACTCACATCAAGGCACGCATCTCCTCACTTGGCCTCTCATGACTGTGAGGATGCTGCAACAGTCGTAAGTGTGAAAAATGGTCATAAGTTACTTTTTTCAGTGCCATTGTAACTTTGAATGGTCACTCCACACAAGCAAAGTACCAGCAAAGGAGGGGAAAAAAACTCCAGAGAAGTTCCTGAGACAGGAAGTCTAGTCCTGCCAAGAATGTAATAAGAGTTAATGGAGAGGCAGTTTCTGTAAGCAATACCAGAATGTTTCCTTCCTGCCTTCCTTACAGGATTAGGCCAGTAATTTCTTCTAACAACCGGTTCTCTGAACTGCTTAGAATGTTAACAACCAGGTCTAGCGAATAGGTGCGAACCTGTAGAATCCCATCCCTGTTTTTAAGTGAATGTAGCTTCCCATTGATTTTTGCTTGTCAGGGTGACCACATGACAGGGCATTGCAAGTATCATAAATACATATCAGTTGCTAAGCATCCAAATTTTTATCATGTGTTGCAATAGTGGGATTCAAATTTTTTTTTACTACCGGTTCTGTGGGCCTGGCATGGGAAGGATACTGTAAAATCCCCATTCCCTCCCCACTCCTGGGGGAAGGATACTGCAAAATCCCCATTCTCTCCCCACCCCATTAACCTGCTTTCCAGCTCTGTTCTCCCATGCAGGGCAACCAAAGAAGACCCAACTGATCAGCTGGGATTCAGGAGGCAGAGAATAGATGGGGGTGGGGCCAGTCAGAGATGGTATTTGCCGGTTCTCCGAACTATTCAAAATTTCCACTACCGGTTCTCCAGAACTGGTCAGAACCTGCTGAATGCCAACTCTGATGTGCTGCAACAGTTGTAAGTGTGGAAAACTATCATAAGTCTCTTTTTTCAGTGGCATTGTAACTTTGAATGGTCGCTAAACAAATGGTTATAAATCGAGGGCTACCTAAAGTCAAGGACTATCTATAGTCCACCTCAAAGTCTACTTTTTAGCACTAAGCTTTCTCACTCTTGGGCGGGCATCTGTTTATCTGCTTTAGTCAATCAGCAAGACTGGTTGCACTCCAAAGAAGGCCTCTCCAAGACCGGAAGAGAACCTCTCTGAATACACCAAAAAGGTTTCGGCCTTGAGCTATCAGCAGCAAGACATCCTGGCCCAGAAAGAAATCGAGATTGCAAAACTCCAGGATCAGGTAACCTGCGCTGTACTTCTTTCTTGTGGGAGGGCAATGTCTCGTGTGGCTCGGGGGCCGCACGTTGCTTGACATTTACCTCTGTTCCCAGGTGACTTTGCAGCACGTGGAGCTCAGCGGTTTGAAGGCCGAGATAGAGAACCAGAGACGGTTGTACCAAGAAAGCAATCGGGACAAGGCCTTGAAGTTCGCCGTAGCAGACCGGGATGAGGCTATAATCAAGTGAGCTCTGACGATTTGCTTTGCCAACCCCATTGATTTAAGTACCGGGGATCCTTTGACTCAGAGATCGCCAACCTTTTGGACCTCAGGGACCACCAAACCCATAATTTTAAATCCCAGGCACCACTAACCAGTTCTGTGGGTGTGGCCTAATTTGTGGGTATGGCTTGGTGGTCATGTGACTGGCTGGGCATGGCTTGTATGTAAATATTATAAATATTTATATAAATACTGGAATTTTTTTATTAAAAAGATCAACTTTTACCCAAAATCAGGCAAAGCAGGCAGGCAGATTGAGTTGCTCACAGAATCATTCAGTGATCTATCTATCTGCCATTGGCTAGCTCAGTCTCTCAAATTTGCTTGCTGTGAGTCTGCACTGAACAATAGAAGCTTCAGTCCTAAGGGAGGTTCGGCTGGGCTTAAAAGCAGAACCGAAGAGCTAAAGACTAGCTAGAAAGCAAGAAATCCAACCATTTCCCGTTTCCTAGCTAATCTAAATCTCCCGGCACAGCAAAACAAATGATGGCTGGAAAAAGGAAAAATAGCAATTTAGCAGGCAAGTTTGCTGGATAAGGAGTGAGTGGGCAGGGAACTTCCTGTGGACCATGTGAGCAGCATAGCCTTATGTTTATGCGCAGTCTGGATTAATTGTTTTGGGGGGCGTGCTCGGGGGGGTGAGATTTCTCTGAGGCCCACCAAAATTTTCTTACGGCCCACCAGTGGGCTGTGGGCCACATTGGCAACCACTGCTTTGACTTAACCATCGTTCACTTAGCAACCATTCCAAGTTAAAAGAAGTACTGAAAAGAGTGTCATGACTGGTCCTCGTACTTAAGATTGTTGCAGCATCCCCGTAGTCATGTGATCAAATTTGGTGGTCGGCAGCCAGCATGTATTTAGAATGGTTGTAGTGTCCCAGGGTCATATGATCATCAAGAAAAGTCAAGGGGGGGAAGCCAGATTTGCTTAAGCATCCATATGATTCACTTAACAACCATGGTGATTCACCTGCCAGCTGTGCCAAAAAAGTAAAACCGGGTGCAACTCATTTAACAATCGCCTAACAGAAGTTCCAATCCCAATAGTCATACATTAAGGACTATCTATATAATCCCTTTGCTCCTGATACTATAATTGCTGCTGGGTTTGTTGCCTGTCAAAGCAGTTGGACCAGCCTGTCTATCTTGGGGAGGCAACTTTCAAAGTCTGAGGCAGCCATTTACAAAGGCATCTCATCTGGAGTTATTAGACTGGGGAAAACTGAGTTAGACCCAACCATGTGGTCTCACTGACAAAGCAGATTAAATGAGACCCCCATCTTCCAAGGCTGTTTACCAGAGGCTCATGTTTCTCAACCTTGGCAGCTTTAAGATGTCTAAACTTCAACTCCCAGAGTTCCCTAGCCAGGCTGGCTGACTGAGGAATTCTGGGAATCCTAAATCTGCCAAGGTTGAGAATCACTTTTCCATGGCAAGAGTTATTATTTTTCTCCATCCCAATTAGAACTCCGTGATTCTGTTAGAACAAAAGCTACAATTTGTACTTTGTTGCAAATACAACAAAAAATAATCGAAGTCATAATCTCTACCATTGCACTGATGATGTTACATAGTTTGGGGAATGAAATGTCTGCAAGAAAACAATCACGCTTAGAAAGCACCAAGGATTCTTCATTTCAACCCTAAGCTACAAATATTCTCCATTATTGCTACCATTGCATTTTCTTACAGCGAGTGGCCTTATTTATGATGATGTTGCATTACTGCAAGGGTTTAAAGGATGGAAATGAGACCTTGGCAGAAATCTTTAAGCATCAGCCTTGAATCTTTCCAATTTTAGCCAAATCGTGTTCCTTTTCTGCTTATCAAAATTATTCAACCTGAATAAATTTGCTGACTTCATCATACACTCTGCAAAGGTTGCTTTTTTGAGCAACTGTAATGTTTATGGCTAGTGGGTTAACTAATAACGTTAAAATCACACCGTTAACGGAGTTGCCAAACAATAACACCAGGTTTGAAGTCACTGTATTGATACTATCAGATCAGAAGATCCAATTGAAAATGCTGCCCATTCCCTAAAAATAACATTTTTATAGCATAGCACCAGGTTATATCAGAACCAAAGGAGAATCCACCAAGGACACATTTAGCAAATATTACAGCAACTACCAGCTACCCAAAATTCAATATCATTTGAGTGATGGGGATTTTGTTAATGCCGACAGTGTTCTGGTAGTGCTCCAGATGATTGTCAACACTTTTTTTCCTACTAGGAAAGGCGAAATAGAATTGGAATTGGCAAAAATCTCCCTGGAGCGAGATTCGCTGAGCCAACAGTTACTGCGTGTCATTCGCCAGAAGATGGCACTTTCCCAGGAATTGGAAGCCTGGCAGGTGAGTAAGCAAATATCAGAACCATCAGGAAACACGTCCTCACTGTTAATCCGCTTGCAAGCTGTGAGCCTTGTGTCAGGAATGGTAACAATCCCGATGCCCCCTTTTTAAAAATTCCCATTCAGACATAGCTTTGGCTCCTTCATTTCCAGATGCATTTTTGACATAGCTGAACTGTGGGAATTTTTATTCCCGGCTTGTTCCAGGTTTACTGAATGAATCCGATCCTTTTCAAAATAGGCCCCTTGGAAGCGGGAAAGGCCCAACAACGGGATATAAAAAGGGGAGCTTGCAGGGAAGCAAATCCAAAAATAAATATTTACTGAAGCATACAGGTAGTCTTCTACTTACGACAGCAATTGAGCCCAAAATATGTGTTGCCAAGTGGGACATTTTTTAAGTGTGTTTTGTCCCATTTTATTAAGTTATCAAGTTCTTAACTGGTTATTGAGTGAATGTGGTTTCCCCATTGCTTGTCAGAAGGTCACAAAGGGATCACATGACCCTGGGACAGGTGGTGGGATTTAAATAATTTAACAACTTGTTCGCCCAGGGTCAGGTTGGCTGTCATGGGAGATGTGGCCCAACTCTGTCCTCAGCTCCATCGCACATGTGGGACAAGCCTCCTACAGTGGCCAACCTGACCCTGGGTGAACCGGTTGTAAATTACCACTATCCCCGCTATCAAAATGGATCCTGGGCATCACACTGCGCTGGCAACAGGCAACAAAGCGGCCAGCATGAGGGAAGGAGGAGGCAAGGCAGCCTTCTCAGAGGGGATATTCAGCAGGTTCTGACCAGTTCTGGAGAATCGGTAGCGGAATTTTGTGTTCCGGCAAATACTACCTCTGACTGGTCCCGCCCCCATCTGTTCTCTGCCTCCTGAGTCCCAGCTGATTGGCTGGCTCTTCTTTGGTTGCCCTGCACAGGAGAACGGAGCTGGAAAGCAGGTTAGTTGGGTGGGGAGGGAATGGGGATTTTGCAGTATCCTTTCCCTGCCACATCCACCAAGCCATGCCCACCAAGCCAAGCCACACCCACAGAACCAGTAGTAAAAAAATTTGAATCCCACCACTAGGCCTTCTCCTTCCCTTGCCTGGGACATTACAACCATCCTAAATATGAACCAGTTGCCAAGAGTCTGAATTTTGATCACATGACCAGAGGGATGATACAACAGTCATAAGTGAAGTGTGAAAAATAGTCATAAGTTACTTTTCTCCGTGCCATTTGAACAGTCACTAAATGAAAAGTTGTAAGTCCAGGACTCCCTGTAATTAAAAACAAATGAGTTACAGGAAGGGTTAAGATGTTATTAGTTGCAAAAAAAAAAGAGTACGAAATAATGAAGTAGAAGTGATATAGGAGGAAAGGAGTTCAGAAAATCACAGAAACAAACCAGGGAGGGACAAAAATATATTTTTTCCCCTTTCTGTGTTGGATTTATGATTCTGTACAGGTAGTCCTCAACTTACGACCACAATTGAATCCAAAATGTATGCTGCTAAGTGAGACATTCGTTAAGTGAGTTTTGCCCCATTTTATGACCTTTCTTGCCACAGAGGTTAAGTGAGTCACTGCAACGGTTAAGTTAATAGTACAGTTGTTAAGTGAGTTTGGGTTCTCCATCCAGTTGGCTTATTAGAAGGTCGCAAAAGAGGACCACATGATCCTGGGACACCGCAACCATCATAAAATGAATCCGTTTGCCAAGAGTCTGAATTTTGATCACATGACCCTGGGGATGCTACCAGGGATGTACGTGTGAACAATGGTCATAAATCACTTTTTTTCAGTGGATGTTGTAACTTTGAACGGCCACTAAATGAACTGTTGTAAGTCGAGGATTTCCTGTACATAAAACCAATGAAGGCATTTGAATGGTCTGAAGCTGGATAAAGCAGGATAAACACCGAGCAAACATGATTGACTGGGCTGCAATTGCGTGCCTAACTGTATGAGAAAAGGAAACATTACTTTCCAAATGATGCAATTCTATTATTGGGATAAAACTATGCCATTTCATTTCCACGAAGCCACCCCCCAAAAACCCACAGTCATCTTTTTTATCTTTGCCTTGGAGCAAAAATACCTTACACATGGGTGCCTCCGGGAGCAAAATTGTGCCTTTCATTCAAAATAACAAGTAGTCCTGGACTTACAACTGTTTGTTGAATGATCATTACAAGTTACAAAGGCACTGAAAACAGTGACTTAAAGGCAGTCCTCACGCTTACAGGACAACCACCACAGCATTCCCACTGTCACGTGGTCCACATCTGGGCACTCTGTAACCAGCATGTATTTATGTGGGGAAAGAACCATGGTGGCACGGTGGTTAGAATGCAGTATTGCAGGTTAACTCTGCTGACTGCCAGCAGTTCGATTTTGACCGGCTCAAGGTTGACTCAACTTTCCATCCCTCCGAAATTGGTAAAATGAAGACCCAGATTGTTGGGGGCAGAGGTGGTATTCAGCAGGTTCTGACCAGTTCTGGAGAACCGGTAGCGGAAATTTTGAGTAGTTCAGAGAACTGGCCAATCCCACCTCTGACTAGCCCCACCCCCATCTCTTCTCTGCCTCCCGAGTCCCAGCTGATCGGCTGGGTCTTCTTTTGTTGCCCTGCACAGGAGAAGGGAGCTGGAAAGCAGGCTAGTGGAGTGGGGAGGGAATGGGGATTTTGCAGTATCCTTCCCCTGCCATGCCTACCAAGCCACGCCCACAGAACGGATAGTAAAAAATTTGAATCCTACTACTGGTTGGGGGCAATAGGCTGACTCTGTAAGCTGTTTAGAGAGGGCTATAAAGCGGTATATAAGTCTAAGTGCTACTGCTAGTGATACGTATGATGGTTGCACTGTCCCAGGGTCATGTGATTACCGTCTGCAACGATTTCCCAGCTGCTTCTGACAAGCAAAATCAATGGCAGAATCCAGATTTGCTTAACGACTGCATGATTAATGTAAAAACTACCTTGAGTCACTGAACTGTGGCAAAAAAGTCATAAAATCAACGCCCTTGCTTAGCAATGGAAATTCTGGTCCCAAACATGGTCGTAAGTTGAGGACTATCTAGATTGCAAGCAGATGGACCCTTTTACATGAAAATGGATTGGAACAGCATATCTGATATTACTCCAGAGATACTCAGGAGAGGATTTCTGGATTCTACTTCACATTGATCAGAATATTCTCTCTTTTTCTTTTCTTTGCGGCTTACAGGATGATATCCAGTATATTATTCACCAGCAACTTCTCCAGAAACAGCAGGAAGAACGCCACTGCTTTACCCCACCACCAAAGCCACCGACACAAGGCAAGGGTCCTGAATTATTTCGGGCTGGTGCCAGCATGCCCAGTGGCACGGGCTTCTTCTCATTCTTCCGGAAAAGCTGAATTGTTTAAGGTGTGGAACTTCTAATATGGCCGAAGGCAGGAAAATGGGTGAAGGGAATGCGAAGGCCAGACTGGATGTATAGGAGACTCCTGTTAGGGACATCTTGTAGGGACAAGGGCTGAATGAGTTCAAGAGCCTTTGAAGCAACTTTGAATCCATCTAGGCCAAGAATTTGTTCTCTTATTCTGTGTCCCACTCATACAGATGTTGGAAAAAATGGGGTTATGCTGCCCTCTCCTGGGTTTGAGACCCGAGCTCTGCACAATGGAATGAGCTCCCATTACCTGCCTCAGCTCCTGCCCACCTACCAGATCAAAATCATGCAAATGCTAATAGATAAATAGGTACCATTTTGATGGGAAGGCCATAGTGTTCCATGTGCCTTTGGTATATAGCCATACTGGCCACATGACCACAGAAATTGTCTTCAAACAATGCTGGCTTCCTCAGCTTAGAAACTGAAATAAGAGTGCTCTAGAGTGGGACTTGACTGACAGGGAAATCTTTACCTTTTTTTTGCTCCAGGTTCTTCCCTGATATCATGCTTGGTCGAATGCATCCCAGGGTGCATTCGTAGAGGAATCCATGCCAATTATGGCTCCAGGAATTCCTTTATAAGCACCCATAACATAGCAGTAGAATGTAGGCCATTGGAAAAGAGACAGGAACTGGGGATGGGAATATGGTTGTCCATCCATACTTCCACAGAGGAGCATCTGTAGTTCTTGGTTAACATATGAGAGCCTTCAAGGTTGGCAGCATGCCAGTAGGATTCCTTGCCTTAGTTAGCAAGATCTTGGCATCTCAAGGCATGTTTAGGGCATCCCATTGAATCACAGCCTTGGGGTGGTGTCATTTGGTGATACATGAATTTCAGTCACATTTAACTTGGAGCAGTTGGAGAGTTCATGTCATGGAATCATCTAATCCAGGGATGTCCAACCTTGGCAAGTTTATGGACTTCAACTCCCAGAATGCCCTAGTCAGCATGGTTGACTGGGGAATTCTGGGAATTGTTCAAAGCTCTTAAAGTTGCCAAGGTTGGACTTCCTGATCAAACTTGTAACATCACCATGAAGCCAGATGCTTTTCTGATATTCAGACCAACAATTCCCAGTTGGCACAATTCAAATACTGTTGAAGACCATCCAAGAAGTAACCACAAGAGCTAGGTAGAGTGTTCTTGTCTGAAAGTAGGTCAAATCAAGTGGATGGCCAATTGACTGAGCTGACTAAAATCATGCAATTAAATGCAATTCTCTTTTAGTAGTTATCCTGGATTGTAAAACACTGACATTGGGTCTGGTCTTTCTTTTAAAACACATCTAGGTTTCCAACAGCAGTTGGCCAATCTCTGCTCCAAGTTCTAAGATCACCCTCTTCTGGTGAATTGGAGACATGACTCAGGATTATTCCAGAATGGCAGGTCGAGGCATCTACAAGTCCCAGCACCTGGCTTTTGATGGAACGCGCCTAGAAACATGGCTTCTGATTTTCTCCACTTTTTCACAGAATCAAGATTGGTGGGAAGGGACATACTATTCTCACATCACTCCCTTGCTAGAAGAAATAGATTACAGGTAGTCCTTGACTTTTAACCATTCATTTAGTGACCTTTCAAAGTTGCAATAGCACTGAAACAAGTGGCTTATGACCATCGTTCACATTATGACCATTGTAGCCTCCGCTTGGTCATGAGATCGTATTTATGACGGTTGCTGTGTCCCAGGGTCCTGTAATCGCCTTTTTACATCCTTCTGATAAGCAAAGTCAGGGAGGAGGCCAGGTACACTTAACAACCATGTTACTAAATTAACAATTGCAGCGATTCGCTTAATAACTGGCAAGAAACATCATAAAATGGGGCACACACAAATCACCTAACAACTGACTTGCTTAGAAATGGAAATTATGGTCTCAGTTGTGGTCATAAGTCCAGAAAGACTTGTAATGTTCACTTCTTTCAAGTGGGAGGCAACTTCTGGCAAAACAGGAAGGTCCCTGGAGGAGGAAAATGAAATCAAGATGGCAGCTTCAATCCTGCAACCGCCATCTTGAAATTTTGACCCACGTCCCATGGATATCTCTAGCAAACCATTCGTCAAAGCAGACTCTGTTTTATTTTTCACTATTAAAAAAAAAAGGTAATTTTCCCTTGGGTTGAGCTCAACCACTAATAGTTATGTAGACACATCTGTTTTCTGGGAAGCACTGGGTTAAGCCTCAAAGTTCTCTTCTTGCCTTAAAGAATGAATACCAAAGAATGCATTCAAGGTTTTGATATTTCAGTAGGATGGATAATGGAAAATAAAAGGGAATTTGGGCCAGATTCTTAAAATCCAGACAAGCAGAGGACAAATGTGAATGCAATGACATTGGAATTTTTTAAGAAGGAATTGGACAGACATTTGTCTGAAATGGGCTAGGGACTCCTGCCTGAGCAGGGGATTGGACTAGAAGACCTCCAAGGTCCCTTCCAACTCTTAAAAAAATATTTTATCAATTCCACCGGAAATAGTAGTGCACAGCAGCATAGGCATAAGAGTCTTCCTTCAGAATGTACCAGTATTATACTCTGCAATGAATTAGAGCAGAGGTCTTCAAACTTGATAACTTTAAGACTTGTGGACTTCAACTCCCAGAATTCCTTAGCCAGTCATGCTGGCTGAGGAATTCTGGGAGTTGTAGTTCCACAATCTTAAAGTTGCCAAAGTTGATAAACACTGCTTTAGCCCCTAATCATCCGGAGAACATCAGATTGGGAAAGGCTGACTGAGGTTTTCTGAATAATTTGCTTTTTTATAAAGTATATATATTTGTGGCTTCTAAAACATCTGCATATATTTCTGCAAATGAGTTTCAGTCATGTTGCAGGAACACCAGCAGGGGGCAGTAATGCTCTTTCTTCTTTTTCCCTTTCTCTTCCTGTTGCATGCAGCCAAGAAATATATATATATTATATATTTATAATATATATATAATATATATATAATATATATATTATAAATTATATGCGCAAAATAGTATATTCTTGTATATTTCCATTTCAATACCAAAGCTGACAGGCCGGATCCAGCCAGAGATTTATTTATCTAAGAAGAAGAAATTCTATATTGCTATAGAGTATTTTTGTTGTAAATTTGTTAATACAGATTTAATAAAGATTATTAAAGTCTGGAACTGGCCCTTCATGCTTCTCTTTGACACTTCTGTTGGAAATCCCATGTTCAGGTGGAAATTAAGGGCTTCACAACATTGAGCGGGGGATTCTAGGAACTGGATTCTTCAACAGATCAAGACAGGAATTAATCTAATAATACTCAGAAATCTCAGAGCAGAATTTATGACCAGACATTATAACCCTGCTCACGCTGCAATGACTTTATTGTTATTTACCATTCGTAAGACTTTGGATCTACACAATATCTAGTCCAGCTGCCTCCAGAAGGAAGTGCAAAGCCATATAGATAGTCCTCAGCTTAAAATAATTCATTTAGTGACCATTTGAAGTTACAATGGTTGAAAAAAGTGACCTACAACCAATCCTCGCACTTATGACTAACCCAGCATTCCCACAGTCATGATTGAAATTTGTGTGCTTGGCAACCAGCATATATTTACTATGATTGCGGCATCCCAGGGTCCTGGAATCGTCATTTGCAAGTCAATGGGGGAAGCCAGATTCACTTAACAACCATACGATTCACTTAATAACTAAAGTGATTTGCTTAACAACTATAGCAAAAGGTCATAAAATGGGGCTCAACTCACTTTACATCTGTCTTGCTTAGTCAGGGAAATTTGGGGTGCAATAGTGTTCGTAAGACAATCTATTATGCAAGATGGCAAGAAATACAACTCATCTTTCTCCTATTTCCCCACAACTACCAACCTGTGAAGTTTAAAGTCACCAATCTGACTTTCATAGTTAGGGCTACAAGTTGATGTCATGTTTTCTATCTGAAGAAATGTGGGACTTCAACTACGAAATCCATTCACTATAGCAAGGGTCTTCAAACTTCGCAAGTTTAAGACTTGTGGACTTCAACTCCCAGAATTCCTGAGCTAACATGACTGGAGGAGGAATTCTGGGAGTTGAAGTCCACAAGTCTTAAAGCTGTCAAGTTTGAGGACCCCTGCACTACAGTAACCGACGTAACAGCTGCCCAGAGTCACTGTGTGAATTGGGCAGCCACAGCTTTATACATTTGTTTAAAAAATAAATAATAAATAAACAAACTCAGGCCAATGAAAAGATTTTGAATCTCTCTGTTCTAACTCTATATTAGAGGTGGGGAACTATGTAGACCCTTTATGACATGGACTTCAACTCCCAAAATTCTTGAGCCATCATGACTGGATCAGGAATTCTGGAGGTTGAAGTTCACAAGTCATAAAAGGACCATGGTTCCTCACTCTTGCTCTATACCAGGGCTCTATAACAACTTGGCAACTTTAAGACTGGTGGACTTCACCTCCCAGAATTCCTCAGCGAGTCTTAAAGTTGCCAAGTTTAGGGACCTCTGCTCTATTATACATTTGAACATAACTGACCAAGCATATCTGAAAAGCATAGCCTGGGGTGAGTTTAAGTGGCCTTCCCATTTCACTTGCACAAGCATGTTTTGAAATGTGATACACACCCAGGGGTGGGATTCTACCAGTTTGCACCTATTCGCTAGAACCAGTTGTTAACATTCTAAGCAGTTCAGAGGACCGATTGTTAGAATTACTGGCCTATCCTGTAAAGAAGGCAGGAAGGAAACATTCTGGTGTTGCTTACAGAAACTGCCTTTCTGTTAATCCTTATTACATTCTTGGCAGGACTAGACTTCCTGTCTCTGGAACTTCTCTAGAGTTTTTTCCCCCCTTCTTTGCTGGTACTTTGCTTGTGTGGAGTGACCATTCAAAGTTACAATGGCACTGAAAAAAGTGACTTATGACCATTTTTCACACTTAAGACTGTTGCAGCATCCCCACAGTCATAGGAGGCCAGGGGAGGAGATGTGTGCCTCGATGTGAGTGATATTGAGTTGGCCATGCTCAGCCAATAACATGACCACCAACTATGTCCACCCAGTTACATGAACACCAAGCCACACCTACCACCTAAGCCACGCCCACAGAACCGGTTGTTAAAAAATTTGAATCCCACCCCTGCACCCTTAAATCACTTCTGATCCCCTGCTGGGTCTTTCAGAACATTTGAGAGTATCTCTTGCCAAAATAATAATAGGCTGGGGCTGATGGGCCATCAAAATGTAGCTTCCCAAGAACACCAAACAGAATTTAAATCTGAAATATTCTTATTGGGAATAATTAAAGGCAAATTTAGCAAACAAATCTAAAACATTGTATTACATATAATAACAGCGGCGAGGATAGTTTCTGCACAGGGCTGGAAAACAATAAAGATACCATCCAAAGAGATGTTGATACAAAAAATATTAGAATATGCTGAGATGGATATACTTACAGCAGAACTAAAAGGCAAGGAGGAATCAGAATATTATGCGGTTTGGGATAGATGGTATAAAACATAGGAATAGGGATTAATGTATAGGAATAAATGTAAATATATGTATTACTGATGACACAAAACTGTTAACAACGTAAGTAGAGATGTGTAATTTTACAAAAAAATAGCTTCCCATTGGTTGGGTGAGAACGTTTGGATGCAGCTGATGGACTATTTAAGTATCCCATTATAGGTAGTCCTCAAATTTCAACCGATCATTTAGTGACACTGAAAAAATGTGACTTACAAGTGTTGCAGCATCCTGAGGGTCCTATCCACAGTCAGACACTTGGCAACTGGCATGTATTTATGACAGTTGTCGTGGTCCAGAGTTGTGTGATCCCCTTTTGCGACCCTCTGACAAGCAAAGTCAATGTCAAAGCCAGATTCAATTTACAACCATGCTGCTAACTTAACAACTGCAGTGATTCACACAAAAATGGTGGCAAGAAAGGTCATAAAATGGGACAAAAAAAACCTCTCACTGAAGTCTTAGCTCCATGCCTTGCTTAGCATTGAAAACTGAAAACGTTGGGCTTAGTTGTAGTCGTAAGATGAGAACTACCTGTAGTAGTTCTGTGTCTTTGTTGTTTTTTTATCTGGCTTTTTTGTTTCTGGTTGGCAGGAAAACGCTTTTCCCCCAGAATCCTAATGTTTAAAACTTAGTTTGGGAACAAAATAATGCTAATGTGAATCAAAACAGGAAACAGAGTTTGCCAAATATTCCTGAGGAGTAAAATGTTATACGAGCTACCATCGGTAAGGATGTAAAAAAAGCTGATCTGACCTTTAAAAACAAAACAAAACATTTTTTAACAGGACTTGAATACAAGCTCAGCAACTACTGAGCCTGCCCTTTGCTTTTACAGTAGTAAAAGTTGTGATTCTAATAGAGGAAATGCCAGCCTGTGCCACAATTGATGGGCTGTGGGCATCCTCGTCTTTCTGTGCCAGCTGCAACCCTCTGGGTGGCATTTTCCTTTTCTAATGGTGGGCCTAAGAAGAGAACAATGTGCGTTTCTTGCAAAAACCGAGGGGGCGGCTGCAATTGGCATCTCAACCCTCTGGAGAGGAATGCAGTACGGATGGGTCAGGCAGATGGTCAAAGCAAACAGCCGCAGGCAAGGACAGTCCATACCCCTCCCCATCACTCCTCTCTCAAACCAGGAACCTCCACTTAGTTCTTCTCAATTACAAAAGTGTTAAGATACACGGACTTCAACTCCCAGAATTCCCCAGCCAGTTATGCTAAACTACGCTGGCTGGAGAATTCTGGGAGTTGAAGTCCACACATGCTGAAACACTGAGGTAGATTATTTGGACAGGTGGCAGGATGCCTCAGTCCCTCAAGCAGGAGAGGGGGGAGACCCGGAGCGAGGAACCCTCCCTTGATGACTTCTGCCAAAAGTTAAAAGAATCTGGTTTATTTCTGGTACCTTGGTACCAGAAGTAGGTACCCACCCTACTTTCTCAGCAGCAAAAGAGAAGTGGCTTGCCCCTCACTTCTGCAAACCTTCCCACCCTCTTCCAATCTAGTCTTGGGATTACCTTGTGGTCACCCATCCCTCCAGCTCCAATTCCACCCAATTGTTTGGAGAACAGCCAAAGTGCTGCCCCCCCCCCCGGGCTCTTTTCTGCCACGGGCTGCTCTACATCCAACCACCACCCCGCCAACCCCCACCCACCCCCCATTTGGAAACGGGACCCACAGCTTCTCGACTGAGCGGCTACAAAGGAAGTTGATGCGCCCAGCGCAGCTGTTACAAAGGCGAAACCTCGTCCGGAGCCGCGTGTTCAGATGCAGCCAAACAAGACACACCCTGTAATGTAATTCTCTCCCCCCCCCACCTTTTATTAATGCGTGCCACCTTCCTCTGGGCCGCATCATCGCCCTTTCCCTCCAAACGACTTAATTCGTTTTCCCCAGATCGTTACTCCTAATTTTTTATTAAGCTTTCCTCCTTATATCTATCGACCCTCGGAAGCCCTCCGATCTCCACGAAGGGTTCTCCGCATCCTCGCTGGGCGGAGTGGGGATGGGGGGGGGGAGAGGGAGGGGAGGAAATAAATCCTGGTTTTACCCCCTAGGGATCCAGGGAGGCCAACCTTGTGGTGGCCCCTTTTCCCGGCTGCTGCCGTCCTTTAAGCAGGCAGCCTCCAGAATGCGTGAGATCCCCATGCTCTTGCAAGCCGGGGAGGATAGTCATTGTAGTCCCCTTCGTCTGCGGGCGCCAGGTTGGAGCCCCACTACCGCATGCAGGCGTTTTAACCCTGGAAGAGGGAGGTCCGGCTGGATTACTCAGGCTGCACGTCCGAATAAATAAATATTGTATCAATTAAAAAAAATATATGTATCTTTAAGCGCGCGCACGCGCGCGCGCGCACACACACACGGTTCCTCTAAAAACTGCCTCTTTATTTTCTCCCATTCTCGCGGCCCCGCCCAGCCCTCGGCCGCCGTCGCTAAACGCCGCCCATTATGACACAAGGCACCGCCCATTACAAGCAAGCCCCGCCCCTCGCTCTCCCTCTGACTGTTTCGAATGCTACTTTGGCGTTCCAGCCGGGAAGCCGCTGCCGTCGGAGGGGAGAGGCAGGAAGAAGGCGCGGGGGCTGCGGGGACCTGCCGGTCATCTGATCCCAGCCAGAGCCGCGTCCGGCAGGGGACGAGGAAGGAAGGCAGCCCTCCGCCACCCGCGAGAGACCCGCCTAGCCTGGCAGCTGATTCAGCGTTGCGCTCCTTGGCTCACGTCGCAATGCCTCCTGCAGGCCGCCTTGCGCCCGGCTCTTCTCCGGGTCTCCTTCATTGATTCCTGCAGCAGCGGCGTTTTTATCCTCCTCTTTTCCTTCGGCTCCCCCCCCTCGCCTCTTTTCTTGGGGAAAAAAAAGAGAGAGAGAGAAGGTAGTTGGGGAAAGTTTGCGATTCTTCTTCCTCTTGGCCGCCAAACCCTTTTGGGGAAACTCCCAGCCTGCTTTCCCTCCGACCTCGGTTGGGTGTTCTGATTTTCCCACCTCCACCCCCACGCTTCTCCTTTTAATTTAAAAAAAAAAAAACCCGATCGGATCATCCTCTCCACCATGGCGATGGTCCTTCTCTGATGCTGCACTCCTTTCGAGCCTTTACATTTATTTTCTGGAGCCAAGCCGATCTCTTTTCGGAATGGAGATCTAAATTCTCACCTCCTTCCTCAAGATCCTTTAAACAACCACTTTCCTTTCTGTCCTGTTTTCGCTTTTAACAGTCAGAATCATTGTTTTTTTAAGGGTGTTGAATCTTGTTTTCTTTTAAAGGACTGGAGAAAAAGAAGAAAACACATATATTCCTTTTCCTGCCCTTTCTTTCTTTTTTGCTCCCAGTTACTGTATTTTCTACACTGCACCGCTTTTTGGTAAGCCAGTAATTTGGGAGAAATCTCTCCCCTTCCCTCCCTATTGGCTCAGAAACCATTTTAACCATTTCTGTCTGCTTCCCTTCTCACAACAAGTGAAGCCAAGATCTTCACAAACCGTGATTCCAGTATTGTTCCGCCAGAACAATCAACGTACATCCAACGTACATTGTTTGGCAGAAGAAGAAACTGCTTTTGAACACACAAACTGAGCTGTGTTCCTCTGTCCATTTGACCCCCAAGGGAAGGAAAAACATTTGGAAGGGGGAAAAAAAAAGTGTGGGGGGAAGTTTTGACATCTTCCCATCTTGAGGCTGTTACAAACATTTCCATGTTCTTTACGATAATTTTTTGGAGGAAAAGACAGTGAATCCTCACGGATTGACTCAGTTCTTTGGAAATTGTTGGCAATCTCAGCGAGCTGCGATGGGGCTGTGAAGCCAATCCTGTGGGAGAGGCCCTCCTGGAAAGAACCGAGTTCGAGAGAGAGAACAGTGAGGGAAGCTGTCCCAGCACCGTGAATGGCTGCCAAGGATTATGACCACTTGTTTAAATTGCTTATCATTGGAGATTCGGGTAAGAATGTTTGTTTTTTCATTGTCATCCCACTTCAGTCTTGTCTTAACTCTGTCCTTCTGTGTTTATTAGATTTTTATCCTGCCTTGATTACTTTATAAGTAACTCGAGGCAGAGAACGTCCATAATACAGGTAGTCCTTGACTTACAACAATTCACTTAATGATGGTTCAAAGTTACAATGGCACTGAAAAAAATGGCAAGACTGGTTTTTCACACTTACGATCCCCACAATCACATGATCAAAATTCAGATGCTTGGCAACTGATTCATATTTATGACACTTGCAGTGTCACGGGGTCATGTGATCTCTTTTTGTGACCTGACAAGCAACGGAGAAAGCCAGATTCACATTTAACAACCTGGTTACTAATTTAACAACTGCAGTGATTCACTTAACCTCTGTGGTAAGAAAGGTCATAAGATGAGGCAAAACTCGCTTAACGAATGTTTCATTTAGCCACAGACATTTTGGGTTCAATTATGGTTGTAAGTTGAGTACTACTTGTTCACTTTTTTTCCTTCTCTTTTTCCCCTCAACAACAACCCTGTGAGGTGGGTTGGGCTGAGAGAAAATGATTGGCCCAAAGTCACCTAGTCACACGGTCATGCCTAAGGCAGAACCAGAGTTCATATTCTCCTGGTTTCTAGGCAGCACCTTAACCACTACACCAAACTGCCGCTTGCTGATTTCTCCCCTCAAACATTTACCAAAACACCACTTTGCTGTCTTTTTTTGTGAATTTTCAGATCTTCCTAACACTTTTCATGCTAGACTTGCCTGTTATTCTTCTGCCATTTTCATTCTGAACACTTCGCCTAATTCTTTCCAATTTTTCTTCCTTCCTAGACTTTTATGTCAATCTTCTTCCTCCAATTCATTGTGAGCACTTGGGATGGGCTGAATGCTTTCCTCCCTCCATATGTAATCTTCTTACCTGTTCTTTATTTTTGTTCTTTTGTTCTTCCCCACCCTTTCTGCCTCACTTTCATTCCTGCAAATATCCACACAACTCTGAGAAGAAGATCCACACAACTCTGAGAAGAAATAATTGAACCAGCAATTTTTACTCCTTAATTCTACTTCTCTTCTTGTGCCACACTACTTTTCAGGAACCCTAATTCTCTATAACAGTGTTTCCCAATCTTGGCATCTTTAAGATGTCTGAACTTCAATTCCCAGAATTCTCCTCCAGGCATGAAATTCTGGGAGTTGAAGTCCAAACATCTTAAAGTTACCACAGTTAAACACTGCTCTATAGACTCCACTGACTTACAGAAAGATCCACTAAATATGTTAAAGGCTGAATTTTTTTTTTGACATATTACTGGTTTGCTTCAGGATTTAATTCAATTTGTAGAATTCCCAGCATCCTCTGGACAGTAGTTAACCCTGGAATATTTTCATTTGGCTTTAGTGATGATGGAACAATTTTGATAGTTTCCTTCCTGTGTTTTTTTTTTTTATTGTCTTGGGATATTATCTTCAAGTGGATGGCCTCCAGGCATGCTGGGACTACACAGCCAGGCTGACTTTAATTCTTGGAGATGTTGTAGTTCAAGTATATCTGAAACCGAGAATGGCTGATTATCATTCCTCAAATTGTTTATAATACTATTTCCTGCATTAATGAATATATAGGTCATTTCCTATATCATTATCTTAAAGCAGAGCACAAATATAGAAATAAAAGCTATTGTTGCATTAATATTTAAAGGTGACATTGCAATACATCAAAAAACTGAATAGCGAAATAAAAATGTGGGTGGAGAAGCAAGGAGGAAAATTAAGATTAAGTAGGATGGACTTTTCAATTTTCACCTGATTATAACAGCCCTTTCTCATTGGCCATATGTTTCATATCCTGTTATAGTCCTATAGTTCTTTACCTAAGGGTAAGCTGAATTTACTCAAAGATATTAGCCTTTAATCACATATAGTGGGCGTGTCCAACTTTTGTCTTGCCTGGGCCGCCTTAAATGAAGATGAATTCTTACGGACCACAAATAAAATATATAATGCAGTTAATAAGACGGCTCAGCAGTTAAAGATGCTGAGCTTGTCAGCTGGAAAGCTGACAGCTTGGATTCAAGAACCGAGCACTGCGGGACAAGGTGAGCTTCCATTACTTGTCCCAGCTCCTGCCAACCTACCAGTCTGAAAGCATATAAATGCAAGTAGATAAATAGGTACCACTTTGATGGGAAGGTCAAAGTACTCTGTGCAGCTTGGTGTATAGTCATGTTGGCTCCATGACCTATGGAAGCATCTTCGAACAATGCTGGCTCCCTTGATAAGAAATAGAGATGAGCACTTCCCCCTCTAAAGTCAGACACAGCTGGACAGGGGAAAACTTTATCTTATAATAATTTTAAAAGTTTGTTACCTTGTGGGGCTGCATTAATAGCTGTCCGGGGCTGCATGCAGTTGTGAGCCGCAGGTAAGCTACTCTTGATTGTACAAGATTGCACTGTTACTTTTTTTACATAGACATTTCAATTCTGTAAAAAAAAAAGTTGCAAATCAGGCAGGTGACTTGGGGCCCTTCAGATATATTAGATTTGGTCACTTGCCAGCTTCAGCTAGTTTAGCCAAATCCAGAGATGGATTTATAATCCAGAACGTCTGGTAGGCAGCAGATTGCATATGTTGGGGCAAAGCTGTTTAATTCAACTCGTCTGGTGAAGTCTTGTCTTTCGTTTTCCAGGCTGCATTTTGAGCTCTAGCATTCTTTGTCCATAGCTTAAATAAAAACTTGGCTTCCTGCTGAAGATGGAGCTACCAGTACAGAGAACTGGGGATTTGCGTGAGGTGCACCTGCTGTGAAATTTGAGATGTTAACATGGAATTCCTCAGTTTAGGATGAATGATTCATACAGATGGTATTGCAGTTTGTAGACACATTGTGGTCTCCCACAAACTGCTGACATCACACCACTGCTTGGGAAGGTTTGAGAATGAGAATGGGGTGGGAACTGTTCCTTCCAGCTCACTACAAAACCAAGAAGCAGAAAGGAAGACTGGTTGGAGCAGACTTGTCCAGTTGGGGCTGAGCTGATCTTCCATGGCTAGTTCAGGTAGTCCTCCAAGTTACAACTATTTGTTTAGCAACCATTCCACAGCACTGGGGAAAAATAAAGACTTACAATCAGTAAGCACTTACAGCATCCCTATGGTCATGTGAGCAAGATCAACTGACATATATTTGTGAAAGTTGCAGCATTCCAGGGTCATGTAATCACCATTTGTAACCTTCTCAGCTGATGCTGGACAACCCAAATCAATGGATTTGCTTAACATGATTCACTAAATAACTGCAGCAATTCGTTTAATAACGGTGGCAAAAAAATGTAAAATTGGGCAGGACTCACATAACAATTGCCTTGCTTACAACAGAAATTTTGGAATCAGTTGTGGTTGTAAGTTGAGTACTACCTGTAGTACAATTGTCCAGGAACTTTTTCTTTCGAACAGTCACGGGGGTGTTGCAAACTAATCCTTTCTCTGTGCAGCAGTCTAATCCTTTGACAGAACTGGATTATCTTTCTTAGTTATTATATTCTTGAAAAGGGTATATAGTATTACCTCACACGATATTGCTCTCTCTCCAGTCAGAAAGGCCAGAGTGATGAAGATTTCAGCTCCCTGTTTTCTCTTTAGGACCATTGCAAATGATATGGCTTATCTTCTCTCTTTAGGACTTTGGAAATTTTTAATGGCTTCCTCTGTTTATTTTCTACTCTTGATAAAGCTGATTCTGAGATGGATCAAAGTGAGACCAGTAGAAGCAGCAATCTTGGTATGTGTTCATGTGTGTTCCAGTGAATCCATGAATCAGGGTTTGCTCCAACCTGGCAATCATTTCAATCAATTTTGCAGCTACTAAGATTGTTGGCTGAACAGGGACAAAAATAGCCAGGGAAATGATTGAAGCCTGTGAAACAGATCCCTTGTCAATCAACAAAAGTGCTGATTTATCAACAGCTTTTCAGGTACTTAGGAAGGAGGGCTTGACAGCAGAAGGAATCAACAACCAATGACTTAATAACCCGCCATCACACCCCAATCAACAACTAAAAAGTCATACATAGATTAGCCCAAAGCATACATTTTGCCAGAGAGAAGTTCCATGAGGATTGGCTCCAGAACAAGTTTGAAAACTCGGAAGACTAAACCTTTGTTCCTTGTCACCTACTCAGATTGGACCCTGCAACATTATTTGCCTTCATTCATGAAGAAATCATTTCAGGATAGAGTAGAAGTGGAAATAAAGCATCAGTTGAAAGTAGATGCTGGTGCAGAAGAGAGAAAAGTAGATGAAATGATTGATGGATAGATTGGCACCATAGATTGGTAAAAGGCTGTTGATCTCTGGCAATCACATTTTAGTAGTGGAGTATCTCAGATTTTTTGGTGGTGTGTCCTGGGATCTGTTTGGATCAGGTTGCTCCAAGACATGTCTGATTTACAGAGGATTTTAGGATTTAAATGCCTGTCACGTAGTCATGGTCCTTTGCATACTTTAAATCAGAGGAACTGGCTAAGTTGTAGGATGAGAAATATTTGGGGGCAGAAACAAGTTAACCTTATTCAAATGTATTCATTGGCAGATGGGGGCAGGGGGTCTTCTATTCATGTAACAATTCACATAATCAAATCATTATTGGGAAGAATGTAAATTGGGTCATTGGCATCAGTTTTCATTGTTTGCATAATTATGTCATTGTGTAATCTGTGTGGAAAATTGGTCCGGTGCATGTGAAGGCTGAAGGCCATTGAAAGAGTCTGAAAGAGGGCAGACACTTTAGAATATGAAATGTGGGTTGGATAGGTCTTGGGCGGATCCACAGCGCGCTTGAAAACAATTCAGTTTTGGTCACCATCATATAAAAAAAATGCTTAGACTTTCTAGAAAGACAGCAAAGAAGAGCAACAAAGATGATTAGGGGACCTAAGGCTAAAACATATAAAGAACGGTTGCAGGGATTGGGTACATCTA